GCCTAATACAAGTGTCTTTATAATAAAAGTTTTTTTTTCCTTCTGGATAGATGCCCAGTAATGAGACTGCAGAATCGAATGGGAGGTCTTGGTTGAGTTAAGGTTTCTCCATACTTCCTTCCAAAAATGTTGTATTAGTTTGCAGTCCCACCAGCAGTGCAAAAGCGTTCCTTTCGCTCCACATCCATGCCAGCATCTGTAGTTTTGAGATTTTGTGATAGGCCATTCTCACTGGGGTTAGATAATATCTCAGGGTGGTTTTAATTTGCATTTCTCTGATAATGAGAGATGATAAGCATTTTTTCATGTGCTTAGCCATCTATCAGCTTTAGAGAAGATTCTATTCATGTCTCTTCACCATTGATGTATGGGGTTGTTGGATTTTTTCTTATAAATTAATTGAATTCTGCATAGATCCTGGTTATTAGATCTTTGTCTGATTCAAAACAAGCAAATATCCTTTCCCATTGAGTAGGTTGTCTATTTGCTCTGATTATTGTTTCCTTGGCTATACAGAAACATTTCAGTTTCATTAAATCCCATTTATTTATTATTGGTGTTATTGCTGATCAATAACTGATCAATTTTTCAGGCAAATGGAAGTCAGAAGAAAAGAGGGTTGCAATCTTATTTTCAGATACATGTAGATTTAAAGCAACTAAAGTTACAAAAGACAATGATGGTCACTTCATATCGGTCAAGGGAAAAAATACAACAAGAAGACATTTCAATCCTAAATATTTATGCACCCAATTTAAATGCTCCTAGATTCTTGAAACAGACCTTGCTTAGTCTGAGCAATATGATATCCTATAACACCATACTACAGGGGACTTTAACTCTCCTCTTACAGAGCTGGACAGATCCTCTAAACAGAAATTAAACAAAGATATCAGAGATTTTAATGAGATCCTAGAACAATTGTGCTTGACAGACATATATAGAACACTCCATCCAAAAGATAAAGAATATACATTCTTCTCATCATTCCATGGAACATTCTCCAAAACTGGTCATATCCTAGGAAACAAAGCAAACCTCAACAGAATCAAAAGAATTGAAATTCTACCTTGCATCTATTCAGACCTAAAAGTGGAACTCAACTCCAGCAATAACGCTCAACCTCACACAAAGGCATGGAAGTTAAACAACCTTATGCTGAATGATAGGTGGATGCAGGAAGAAATTAAAAAAGAAATCATTAACTTCCCTGAGTATAACAACAATGATGACACAAGCTACCAAAACCTATGGGATACAGCAAGAGCAGTCCTCAAAGGAAAATTTATCGCTTTAGATGCCTACATTCAAAAAACAGAAAGAGAATGCATCAACAAA